TGGCAACTTTCCATGTGTAAGCTTCACTGAGCCTCAGCCTTCTATCTGTAGAATGGGAACAGCAGCCCCTTCCTCAGGGTGGGGGTGCGAGGTCCCCTGAACAAAAGATGCATGATGCCAGCCTCATGCTGGGTCCGGAAGAGGCTGCTGAGGCAGACCAGCAACCGTGCCCTCTGTCCGTGCCTTCTCTAGAAAGCCCGCGCCACAAAGATACACTCGCCACGTGTCATCCGACACACGGCGCTAGCTGCATGTCCTTGGCCCCTAGTCCCAGGCTGTATCGTCCACAGGGAACAGAAGAACTGTGACATGTGAGAGCTACTTCTTGGAATATATTCAAAGTCAAGTTTGCAAAGCAGAATACACGTTCTTGAGAAGTGACAGGATGACCTAAGGTTTGATTCAAAGTCATTTGCGACATTTACTCTATGCCAGGGGTTCCCGGGGGAAAAGGGTCACTTTGCCACAGCCTGGGCCTAGGAAGAGGTTGGGAATGAGCCAGGCGCTAAACAATGACTAGGGGCAGAGAGGAAGAAAGGGGTGTGGGGGCCTAGCCAAGAGGGGAGACAGGGCCTTTCAAGCAGGAATGACTCAAGAGCAGCAGTTGGTGTGGGATCAACATTCTAGAAAGAAGCCGCCAGGGGTAGAGGCTGGGGAAATCACGGGCAGAAAGGTGGAGGGGGACAAACCTAGGCTCCGTGAGCGGTCTCCAGGGAAGGGGGGGTGCCGTTTGCATCTTGGAGATCAGCTACCGTTGGCAGCAAGTCCTTGAGGGTAGGGACCGTGAGTGCCCTTGTTCTCCATTGTTTCCAAAGCCTGAAGGAAGGCTTCCCACAAACCCTCAATAAATATGTACTGAACAGATGAAAAGGAGGAAAATCAGCTCAGCGAGAGAGGCTTGGATGCTGACGATGGGGACTGAGGGGAGTGTGAACGGATTTGCAAAGAGATCAAGGCTGGTGAAGTCATGGTTCCTGGGGAAGCAGAGAGAGACATGGAGCTGCAGGACAAGGACCCTAAAGAGGTTTGGGGGTGAAGGCAAGGAGAGCAAGCAGGCGCTCTCTGCAGGGTGAGAGAGACGAAGGCAGGGCTGGCCAGGGCGGGGAGAGGTCCCTGGGCACCGGCCCAAAGGGAGAGGAAGAGATCAGAGGGATGGGGGAGAGGGGGAGGGCTAGCTCTGGGAAGGTGACAATGTGTGAATTAGGCAGGTGCCCTGACCAGGGGACAGAGGAAGAGAGGGAGGGAGGACACAGGTTGACTCCCCAAATGGCCTCTGCTCTCTCAACCAAGAGGCAAAAGGTCTTTTGAGAATGGGTTTGGGAAAGGGAATGAACAGGGAACTCTGGGCAGGAAGCAGAGCCAAAGCACCTTCCAGCTGGCCTGCGGGAAAGAGCCAGAGCCAGAGCCTGACTCCTCAGACGGCAGCCAGAGACCGGCCGAGGGCTGTCACAAGGGTGACCAAGGTAACCAAAGCCCCATGTTGCTACAAAAACACCTCCGACTTCTCCCCACGGACCCCTCCAGGCCAGGCCTGTGGTGTCTCATTCTGTAGGACCTCCCCCAAATCGGCTGGGTGACCAGGAGGCCTGGATCCATTTCCTGACGTTTTTGAGAACCAGTGGGCTTTCAGTAAACAACGAGGGGGCCTCGTTCGGCACGAGATTCCATACCTATTCCCGACTGGGAGCTTTTTCAAGCCTTCTGATAAGGGACGAAACGAGGGGCTCTCCAGACATCCCTGCAGGCCTGACATGCTCTGAGAAACGCTACGGACCAGATGGAAAGCAGACAGGGGGAAAGGAGAGGCAGCCTGATCACTGCGGTCAGAAAGGTCCCACCATTTATGAGGAACACATGCTTAAGAAAGCAAAGTGCTTTCGTGCTCCGTCCATCGCGGGGAGACTCGCGGAAATGCTGTCTCAAGTCAGGTGGCACGACGTCCCTGCCATTGCTTCCCACACTGCACATTTTCACAAGGGATGCAGAAGGGAATCAGACGCGTGAGTCCCCAGGAGGCCTATAGTATGAGCGCTTCTCCCCGAATCCCCTGTTTCTCGCCCTCTCCCCAAAGGCGCGAGCCCAGACTTGCCTGCAGTCACAAGTGCTCTCCGCTTACTTATCTGCCCCAGTGCCTGTGGCTTTAATTATTTATGATAGTGTCTCATCACACTCACTGTGTCTCAGAGTCACTTGGTTCTCTCAGCCGAGGAAGCCTGTGTAATCAGACAGGCAGCCGATTAGCTGGCACGTCTCAGCTGAGGCATGGGGCCAGCACATCAGCCAGGGACTCAGAGGCAGGGCTGGCCAGACCCAGGGACAAGGCTGCTGTGCACCGCTGTTGCCATAGATGTTTTCAGGAAATAATCAGGAGCCATCAGCTATCTACTGACCAGACAAAATGTCCTGCTTCCCTGAAAAGGACACTTTCCCTAATATCGGAGGGTTTTAACAAGCTGGAGTCGCTTGTGATTCCCCTCGGGTGAGGTACTGTTTGCTCCCTCGTGCCGGCGGGTCCTCACCAACAAACCCACTTCCCCCCTGTCTCCACTGACCCCTTCTTGTTCACGCGCAAGCACTGCCTGGCTCCTTCAAACGTCCACTTCGAATCACAAACCCAGGGATTAGGAAGGAAGGCTTTTTCTCTGCACGGTTTTGTAGGGCGGGAACTCCTTGCCTAGGGAGGGGATCCTGACATTAAGAGACACTCAGATCCCACGTCTCTCTCCAGGGCTCACACTTACTCTGATGGCCCAGAGGAACCTTTCTTCCCATGTGCAAGACTCACTCCCATTCATAGCCACGGAGAAGCTGGTATCAGGAACTCACGCGAGCACAGACACCCAGAGACAATACACCAGGAGCTCAGAACTTCCCCTAAAGGGTATATCGCCCATCCTAATTATTCACCGATTCTGGATTTACAGATTCGCCTCCTCGCTAAAACTTACGCATAACCCCCAAACCAGGATTCCCGGCAATTATGGCCCCTGATAAACGTGAAAGGAGTGGGGAGAAATGGGAGTCACCTGACAGACACGTTCCCATGGGATGCTCTGCCTTCTTATTTCTGCTCTCATAACCAGTGCTCATTTTGTCGTCTGTTTGGGGCCATTTCTTGAGTAGTTGTGCCATTTGTGGGTAATTTCACTGTTTAAGATGGCCCCAACATAGTGCTGAAGGGCCACCTAGCATTCCTGCGAGCAAGAAGGCTGGGGTGGGTGGACCTTACGGAGCAAACAGGTGTGTTCAAGAAGATCTGTGAGTTAGATAAGCTTTGTTCAGGCCTGAGTCATCATGCCGCTGACCCTGAGTTCGATGTTAATGAACCAACAATATCTATTAAATAAGGCATCTTCCAACAGACGCACACATGAAACAGGTTATGTATTGACTCACTGATAACAATGTGACCAGACATTCACAGGAGCCTAACCCTGTATGTCCCCTAGGAGCAATGGCTCAGCATCCCCTAATTCAGCATTTGTGGTGACTTTATTGGAATGTAACTACTGTGAATAACGAGAATCGATTACACGTTCAATGGAGCAATGTCTCGCTCTCTGTTCCAATGCCAGTGTCGTTACAGAAACTCGACATCACCAGCTCTAGACCAAGCCCAGACCCCATGCTACCGTCACAGAAAAGCTTTCCTGCCAGCCACACCCTCGTCCATCCAAGGTGAACCTGACCTGAGGCAAGGCCTTTAGCCAGAGCTGAACTGTTCTGAGCACTAAGCTCCCCACTATTTCGACAGAGGGGTGTCCAATAAACACTGAGACCAATTCTGAAGGACACCCAAGGCGGGGAGGCACATGATTGTGACTCAAGCCCCGTCCCTCCCACTGTGGCAATCCTTTCACTAAAAATCAGAACCAGAAAAACAGAAGCAAAGGTCGGTGTGAGAGCCGAATGCCCCCTCGGCTGTGAGATGGACCAGCGGGAGCGGCGAGAGTTCTGAGAGCTATGGTGTGGCCCGAGTACAGAGCGCTCAGCCAGTGCAAGAGAAAGACCCAGGGTGCTTCTTCCTCAGCCGAGACCCTGGAGCGCCAGAGAGAAGAGAACCAATGGCAGAAGCCAGGGGACAGGGAAGAGGGAAGAGGAACTCACAGCCTCCCAGTATCTCAGTTTTACTGTCTGTAAAAGGAGGCCTTCGCCTTGCCCTTCCCTTCTCAGTCTCCAGGGGCCTCCGTACTCTCTCCTGAACTAGCTGACCACCTCTTGAGGGCAGGAGCAGGGGAGGGCGGGCACTGGGGCTTCTAGGCTTACACGGAAGCTGGGACCACCTGCTGAATGGAAGGTCCAAGCCACGGAGGCTCCGGAAATGAGGAGAGGCCCTGGGAGCCAGGAGAGGCCCGAGTGGAGCTCCGCAGAAACCCAAGGACAGGGACTGGAACTAACAGCAGGCGAGAAGCGAGGAGGAAACTAGGGCCCTAAATCCTGTGATCTGAGGGAGACGTCTGCAGAGGGAGGTGAGGCGTCCTGGCAGTGGGGCCATGAGGGGGTTCTCAGAAAGTGCACGCTTTGGGGCACTGGAGGGGCAGCTAGAGAGATGTTTCCATTCCAATGGGACTCCCCACCCTTCATCCCTTCCCTTCTCCTGGAGGTTTGCGTGGAGGGTCTGGTGACCTCAGGGCCTATTATCTGGACAGAGTCGGGTTACATTGCCTAAATGCAGATGCCAAGTCCATAGAGAAGACCAGCCTTGTCTGTGTCCCCTGCCATACTGGGAGTACATCTCCACATGGGGCTGGGCCTCCTGCATCCAGGCTGCTCCCTGCCCTGAACCCTCTCTGCCCAGGGGACTCTGCGCCAGTGGAGACCCTTTGCTCAGGCTATTTTTCAAGTTCTGAGACAAACAGGGAGGGTCTCTTAAGAGAGTGGGAGGTTAGCAGGTGGTAGGTCACTTCAGAAGGTTCCAGAACCCCAGTTATGTGGTCTACTGCCATGCCACCCTCCCCTGCCCTCCCCCGGAAGGGACAACGCTCTACTCCAGTACTCACACGTGTCTGGCTTGTGGCAGTTGTGTCCCTGACGGAAGTACTGGGGATTCTCAATGACCGGGATACGGGTCATGCCGATGACCACCGTGTCCGGCCCGGCGTCCAACGAGGAGGGCGTGGTGATGCCATGGTTGATGTGGTGCAGCGGGCTGGCTGAGTCCTCCTCACCACTGATGACAGCCACAGGCCCTGCGCACACCAAGAGAGACACGAGACATCAGGGAAGTCACATCTGGCCAGTGCCCAGCCCTGCCCACTATTTCTGCCACCACAGCTCCAGAAGAGTGAAATCCCCGAGGAGTTTGCCCTGAATGTTCTGGAATCCCCATTCAAAGAGCCACCCCTTCGTTCTCTTTCTTGAGAGAGAGAAATGTCTGCCCCACCACAACAGCTGCAAAAGCGTGTGTCAAAATGACTGTGCCGTGAATTATTTTCACTTCCCCTAAATCCAAATTAGCTCAAAATAATGCAAATTTTAAATGAGTTTTTTGCTTATGTAGCAACAACGGGATAAAAAAAAAAATGTACATAGCAGTAATTTGCGCCCTGTCCCTCCTCCCTTCAGGAGCTTTAGCAACTGTGATGGTGGGTCTCACCCCCCCATTTCTCATTCGGTTGGTCTGCGGACTGGGGAGGCACGTGGGCATCAGTATTTACAGAACGCCCATGTGAGTCCCACGCACAGCCAGGATCTAGAACCTCTAATTAGGGGTCTGGAGTGCCTCAATTAGCCTTTCCAGAGTGTCCCTCAGATTCCTATAGGAATATAGGAATATATCCAGCTTTATATATATCCAGGGATATAGGAACGTATCCAGCTTTCACAGGACTCTGCTGTGGCTCTCCTGGTCCACAGGGAGCTAAGTCCAGTACTGGCTCTGGATCGAACCTGAGCCAGCTTTCAAAGCGACACAAATTCAGCCACATCACCGTCAGCCTTCCTGCAATGGGGTCAGCTGCCCACTCTCGAAAGATCCACGCTGCCCCGGGGGTTCCAAGGAACGTCATTCATGTCTTCTTCAAACTCAACCCCACCATGTTCCAACCCAAAGAGGAAACCCAGGGACTTGGGTTATTTACAAACACAAGTTGACCAAGATAATTGCCACAGTCTTGGCAGAGCAAGGATTCTGTCTCATGGGGCGATTCTCCCACACGTACAAATAAAACTGACGTCAAGGCCATCAGCTGTGACGGTGGCTTCCTGCAGCTGGTGTTTGAAATTGCTGCTTTGCAAGACACATGGTCCCAAGAAAAAGTGTCCGCTGTGAGTTGGCTCTGTGGCTTGTACAACACTTCCGCTGGAGAAGTCCATGACACTTACTAAAGTTCATGGGGAGGATACTTCCCATCGAATAGCGAGGTAAAGCACCAATGAGGCAGAACTAAAAGGAAGACTAGTAAATGCGAATGGAGGACCCTGAATTCCACTCCATCAACACAAAGAGGCTTATTCCCATGCACGACAAATGCCTGATGGGGTTTGGAGACCACGTGGGAAAGGATCAACACATGGCAATAATCACTCGCCCTGCAAACACCTTGTAAAAACTCTGAGAAACTTCGTTGTGATTCCAATGAAACACTGAAAGTGGGGCACGGGTTTCTCTCCTTCCTCTCCCCCCAGATGCCTCTAAAATACAAAGAAATTAAAGAAATACTGGTGCACCAAGAGCAAGAAGAGGGGAGACAAGAAGAAATAAGGTATTTCAATGTTTTGGAAGATGAAAACTAAAAAGATGTAAGCTTGCTTACAGAAGGGCTACGGTGGGAATATTTAGAGAAAATCAGTTCTGCTGGGTCTTGCCGGTGTTGAATGGAAAGGGTAACCCAGAAGGCTGGATTGGGGCTCAGGGCTGGAACAAAGTACCGGAGCCATGACCTTGGCCCCAGCCCACCAGTCTAGTGGTTTCTTCCTGGAAAAAATTAACTGGAAAGTCCGAGCGAGGGGAAGGGCTGGTTCCCTTCTTCCTGCTCCTAGAAGACAGCAACACCAAGAATGCCCATGCTTCTCACTGACCCTACTCCCAGTCTCCACCCCCGAAAGAGATTCAGAGGTTGCGTCTCTGCAGGAACTGAGTGGCTCAAAAAAACACCTAGATGTTGGGGCACCTGGCTGGCTCCATTGGTTAAGCCTGACTGTTGATTTTGGCTCAGGTCATGATCTCAGGGTCATTAGATTGAGCCCCGTATCAGGCTCCATGCTCAGCGGGGAGTCTGCTTAACATTCTCTCCTTCTCCCTCTGCCCTCCCCCTGCAGGCTCTCTCACTTGCTCTAAGATAAATCAATCTTGGGGGAAAAAAAAAAGTACCCAGATGTTGACATCTGGCGATCTCCCACTGAAATCATTCTTAGTCTGTGATCATGCCATAGTGAAGGCTAATAGTTGATGAGGCCCACCTATGTGCCTGAAGTACTTTCTGGAACTCAATTCCTAAATATGAGAGAATAGTCCAGGACACCTCAGACATTTCAACGAAGCTTCCACATGAAAGAGAAAGTGCCAGACAGACAGACAACGGGGCAACGCAAAGAGCAAAAGACCTTTTTTTTCCAAATCACAAATATCCTCTGAGAGACAAATAAAGATGTCACATCCATAAAACAAGTTATTTAAAACATAAACAATTCAAAGGGCAGAAAGAGTCCTTGAGAATTGCGACCAATGGAACTGGAAAGTCAAAGAGGAGTGGAAGATAAAGCTGAGGAAATTCTTCAGAAAGTCAAACAAGACAGGAAGAGGAGGTCAATCGGAAAGAAAAAAGAAGAAAATGAAAGACACTATCCAGAGATTTGATACCTGACTGAAAGAAAGGTGGCGGGGTAGGGAGAGGGAGAGAGGGAAGGAGAGGGAATAGAAAAGATGGAAGGGAGGATAAAAAATTAGGAAAGATTTCTCTAAATGACCTGTCCACTCAGTTTCAAGCATAATTAATAAGTGCACGTACACGTCGGTCCCCACATGGACACACACACACACACACACAGGCACATGCACACACATATATCAAGGCACAAAATTATAAAATGTCACCCTGAGAATAAAGAGAAGATGCTAAAAGCTTGTAGGAGGGAGTGATAGGTCCTATTTCAAATGGAACAGAAACCAAAAAGACAATGCAATTCTCCGTAACAACCCACTGTCACTGCACTGAGCAATGCCTAAAAAGATTTACTTACTTATTTTCGAGAGAAAGAGAGAGAGCAGGGGGAGGACAGAGGAGAGAATCCCCAGCAGACTCCCCACTGAGCTCAGAGCCCAACACTCCATCTTAGGGCTCTGGGATCCTGACCTGAGCTGAAATCAAGATTTGGATGCTCAACTGACTGGGCCACCTAGGTGCCCCAATTCCTTCAAATTTTTGATGGACAAATTTTCAGCCTAGAATTCTACCCCTAAAAGTTTCTTCATTGGATACCTGGGAGGCTCCGTGGGTGAAGCATCTGCCTTCAGCTCAGGTCATGATCCCGGGGTCCTGGGGTCGAGCCCTGCATGGGGCTCCCTGCTGGGTGGGGAGTCTGCTTCTCCCTCTGTCCCTCCCTGAGACAGACCCCCCCCCCCCCCCCGTGCTTGTGCCCATGCTGACGGATAAATAAATAAAATCTTTAAAAAAAATAAACAAAAGCATATTCATTCACCCATTGTAAGGGCAGAAGACAGACACTTGGAGGTCTATAGACACTCACCTCCCAGTTCCTGGGAAGCAGCAGGAGGGGAGGTTTTAGCAAAACAAAGGGGCAAACAGGGAAGAAAGGGAGTGTGAGATTCAGTTCCAAAGGACAGAAGCCCCCACCCCACACCCAGGTCTGTTCTCAGCATTATGGGATGTGCGTTGTTATAGCAACATGGCAGAGGACACAGAGTCAGGAGTTTGGAGGAGACAGAAAACATGGGACTTGAGCCTTTTACGGAAAGCTGTTTCTTTGAATCTGTGTCTCAGGGAGTCATTGGACAGCGAGTGGTCCACACAAAGTTCCAAAGCCTGTGATCTAAAACAGTCTCTGCTTTCTCAACATTATTCTAGGATCTGAAAGGACCAGGTAAGAGCCATAGGGAGGAGAAGGGGCCCTGCTGCCAGCTCCCAAGCCACAGGAAGGGACAGGGTCACCCAGGAAAACTTCACATAAATAAATGAATAAAGCAGACTTCGAAGCCCTGGGAAACCTAATACTTAGAATGCAAGCAGAGGAAGGGAGGCCCAGAAAGGAGCGTGAGAAGGGAAGGCCAGAAAAGCAGGAGAGAATCAGAAAACGACACTGACTTAGAAGTCAAAGGAGGAGGACACCCAGAAGTTCAAGTATATCCTCTTCTAAGGCCAAGGAGGAGGCAGAAAGAAAATAGGCCACTGTCTCGGTCAACAAGAAGCTGGCCTTCCCAAGAGCAGGTCCCAGAGGGGCATGGCGGGAGGAAAGTATTCAACTACAGCGTGTAGAGGAGGGGGCCGGAGATCTCACCACTGTCTCCATTTTTACTGATTGCTTTCCGTGCATCAGGCTCTGTAAATGCAACATCTTTAACTTTAGAATGCCTCTGTGAGGCTGTTACCTTTACTCTCCCCATTTGGCAGATGGGAGCACTGAGGCACAGAGCAGCGACCTGTCCAAGGACACACATCGCAAAGTGAGACTCAAGGAGGTGGGTGCTTGCTGGGCTGCAAACCTGGCCTGTGCCCGAGCCTGAGCCCGTCCCAGGGACACGGCACGTCCTTGCAAGGGCAGACCATGGTGGGGCGAGCATGTGTTCAAAGGGACACTTGGCCAATTCTGGTACCTTATCCTCCGCGTGAGCAGCTGCCTTCGACTGCGGGTCCCCAAGACCCTATTTAAAGAGGTTGCTCTTGATCCGCGTGAACGGCAACAAGACTGAACACCTCATCAGATGTACACAGATAGATTGCAGATAATTCATCATGAGCTCTGTGTCCCAGAGCGGCCAAGCCCCGGCGTTCAGCTGCACCCACATCAAAGAGAGTACGGTGCCGTCAGACCGCTGTCCGCTCCCAGGGGCCCACTTACTCACCTCCCCTCCTCCACGAACCACATTCCTTAAAACCAAAGCCACTAAAGAGTGCAGAGACCCCTCCCTTCCCAGAACCTGAGACCCTTACAGCTTGCTCCTGCCCACCTGTGCCCACATCCAGCAGGGGTCCCAGCATGTTTGTAGCTGGCGCTGGGGTGGGACAAGTCC